AGCCTGGAATATACAAGCCCAGAGCTCTAAACTTTAGCATTAACTCTCTTTGTGTCCAGCCCTGGGATTACTGGAAGCACAATGCAGGGAACACTCTTTGGTGCTGGAGCCCTATCTATGCCCCAGTCTTTCCTCAAAGGGACAGAGGCTCCTGTTCCCTCCACCACAAAGCACCTGGGATTTGGGGGAAGGGATTTCTTTAAAACATCATATACCTGGAAAATACTGTCCCCCCAAAAGTTTTTTGTTTAAAAAAAATTTTTTTTGAAGTATAGCTGACACCAAAAGTTTTTTAAAGAAGGGATTATATAGGGGCACCTGGGTGGCTCAGTTGGTTAAGCATCTGCCTTTGGCTCAGGTCATGATCCCAGGATCCTGGGATCAAGCCCCGCATCGGACTCCTTGCTCAGCAGGAAGCCTGCTTCTCCCTCTCCCTCTGTTCCTCCCCCTGCTTGTGCTCTCTCTCTCTCTGTCAAATAAATAAATAAAATCTCAAAAAAAAAAAAATGGATTATATAAAGCCATAGCCAGGACACCAAATGTCTTTCACAAGGCAGGTAAACATATAATAATCTCTGCCTGCAATTTAACTGCGCAAAGTGTGGAGGAAAGAGGGGTGCCTGGGTGGCTCAGTCGATTGAGCATCCGACTCTTGATTAAGACTTATGAATCGCTGACCTCTACCTCTGAAACTAATAATACATTATATGTTAATTAATTGAATTTAAATAAAAAATACAAGTGAAAAAAATTTTTTAATAAAATCTTTTAGTAAACATCCAATATATTTATACATATATATAAATTATACATATGTAGCACTATGCAGACATATCATGTAGATTACCAAAAAAAAAGTGTGAAGGAAAGAAAAGCCCCAAAGAAAGACAAGTAGATACAGCCATGGTTTTTAAGTCGATAAACAAGAACAGTCATACCCACAAACCTTTGTGACACCTTTGCAAACAAGGCTCTTACGAAACCATATCAGTTAGTGGTGAACTTCACGTGAGACTTTACATCACAGGCCTTTTTTTTTTATTTAAGATTTTATTTATTTATTTGAGAGAGAGAGCACAAGCAAGGGAGCAGCAGAGGGAGGGGGAGAAGCAGGCTCCCCACTGAGCATCGAGCCTGGACAAGGGGCATGATCCCAGGACTCTGGGATCATGACCGGAGCTGAAGGCAGACGCTTAACCGACTGAGCCACCCATGTGCCCAGCATCACAAGCTTTTTATGTAGAAGTTGGCAGAGTGTGTGGTGGCTAAAAGGCAAGTTCTGGTCCCACTGCTTGGGAGTGTGGTTCTGTGGCTTCCCTACTTACCTGGAGTGTGATTTGGGGCATGGTACCTAATCTTCTAGGCCCTGATTTCCTCTTTGCTAAAATAGGAATAATAATATTTTGCAAGTTGGTGTAAGGATTAAACAGAATAAGGCCTACAAATTGCTTAGCCCCATGCCTGACACACAGAGGTCTTCAGTAAATATTAACTGCTATCTGTATAGGGTTCAACTTCCAAAGGAAAATCAGATTGCATATTAATGATCAGAAATTGGATTCTGGAAGCTCAACGTCATTTGTTTGACCAGGCCTAAGTGGGTCTTTTATTTTTAAGTGTGATAAATGAATAATTTTAAACTCTTTCAGGTGTTGGATAAAGGTTCTAAAACAGAGGTTCTCAACCTTGGCTGCAGGTTAGAATCACCCAGGTTGATTTAAAACCCTTGATACCCATGTTACAGCCCAGATTAATTATATCAGAGTCTCTGGGGGTGGGAGCAAGCCATCAGAGTAGTTTTAACAATCCTCAGGTGATTTCAATGAACAACCAAATAAAGTTCTCATCTGCTCTAACGTTCTGAAACCACAATGGAGTTGCATTAACAGTAGGGAAGTAGCTCAGAAGAACAGTGCCCCGGCCGGAGCCAAGATGAAATTTTCCACGGGAGGCTGAAAGGATTCTATATCATCATAGAAGTTGAATCTAAAGAACACTGATTTTCATCCATACCACTTTGTAGGTATCAAAACAAACTCTATATTCTTAGCAAAGCCCTATAGAGTGAGCCTATCCTAAGAACTTAAAACTAACTCGTTTAGATTTTTCTCATAGCAAATTGATTAGTAGTGTAGGCAAAAACGTGTTTAAGTTCTATCAGCCTCCGAAGCTGAATTCCGGAATCTCACTGAAACATCACTCATTAACTGACCTATCAATTGGGTCAGCCTTTAATTAAAGTCTAGGATCAGCTGGAAGGAGAGGGGAATGTGGAGTTATTGGGTTTCAGTTTGGGGTGATGAAAAAAAGATTCTGGAGAAGGATGGTGGTGATGTAGTCTGTGTTCTTTTACCTGATGGCCAGTCAGGGGCGGCCACCAGAGGAGCACGGGAGAGGCTCAGGAAAATAAAGTTTGTCATACTGACAGGTCCTGTGCACAACACCAGGGCCAACACCAGGGCCACAAGGGAAAACAGTAGTGTGGGTCCGGAGGCAGAAGGGACAGAAGCAGGAGGACAACCTGGGCCTTTACAGAGGAATATTGCCTCCTGGGATATAGGGCCAGATGGAGGGGCCCCGGCTTGATTACTGTGCATATCAAAGGACTGCTTCAGGGGAGCCCTGGGCTGTTCTTAAGAATGTAGCCCTGGGGAGGGGCAGTCTCTTCCCTGCCAGAAAGCTTTTAAGATGTCAAAGCATCTTGATATACAGAAAACAAAAAACATAGACAATACAGTTGCACAACAATATATATGTACTTAATGTCACTGATGATACACTTGAAAAATGGTTAAAATGGTAGATTTTATGCTGTGTGTATTTCACAATCAAAAACAAACCCAAGTATCCACAATATCAAAAACTGAACTCTAGGCAAAAGGCAAGAACCAAAGGGGGAAAAAATGGGGAGGTCGGAAAAGACAAAACTTACATCAGAAACTTCAAGGGTCACTTTTCCCAGCGTCAAAAGAAGAAATTGCCTTCTATAAAATCTTTGCCACCTCCTGAGATGCAAATTTTAAGCATTTCTAAAAATTACCTAGCATAGTGGACAAAAAGGAAAGGAAACAAATAGTACAGAATTGCTTCATCCTCTAAAACCATTTTTCACTTCTCATTGCTCTGTCACTCTAACGAGATCAGGAGCGATGATACCGTACAGGTCATTCGCCACTGAAAACCCGACTCGTCTCCATGTGTGACGCCAGAGCACTAAACCCTCGCCACACCGCCCAGGATGGCTGCCCAATTCACTGTCATCGCATGCTTTGGTGAAGCTCGATCATAAACTCTGCTACAGACTTTTTGTCCAACAGAGTGTCAGTTGTTTGTGTAGTAACTAATATACTTGAATCTATCAGACTTTTGTACGCTCTTATCCTGAATTTCTAAACCCCCAAATCGCTCCTTAGACATACCATATAAGCACTGTATATTTCTCAGCCAAAATAGTTTGGCTGACAAGAAAATGATTGCTCCATTGCATATTCCCACCTAACTTTCCTCTTCTCTGTATAAATCAGGGAAATCCACCATCACTTCTTTTTCCTTGCTCATGCGCCAAGTCTCTCCTCCATCCCCTATTCCAAGATTCTTGGCATAAACACCTGTGGCTGCCAAACCTTTCCACTCTTATGCTAACATAAGCAACCCAAAGATGACTACTCTTCTCCTTCCCTGCAATTCGCTTTGTAGAACCAGTTGCCAGATGCCTGCAGAATAAGTACCAGGGGAAAAGGAAATAAACCATTCCTTTTTCTGGGAAAGGACTGTGGAGGAATGAAGTTGTAGCTCTCTAACTCACTCCCACTGGTAAGAAAGTCCCTAGAACATTATAAAGAATTGGTTTCAAAGATTGGGTATGAGGGGCGCCCGGGTGGCTCAGTCGGTTAAGCATCTGCCTTCAGCTCTGGTCATGATCCCAGGGTCTTGGGATCCAGCCCCGAGGCAGGCTGCCTGCTCAGTGGGGAGTCTGCTTCTCCTTCTCCCTCTCCCCAGACCCCCGCTCCTGTGTTCACTCTCTTTCTCTCTCAAATAAATCTTTAAAAAAAAGACAAAAAAAGACTGGGTGTGATTTCTTTCCATTTGTTTTCCTCTTTTCTGTAAGCTATGTGAAGTGTTTGATCGTTATCAAGCATGTCCTGTTCTATTCCTTTCAATCTTACCAAAAAGTTGCATTGATCCCAAAATATATAAGGAATCAGATGAGAGCTGGTATACCTGTTTGAAAACATTAGTCAGTGTGCAAAATATGTCACGTTTCCAGTATTTAGAACATTGTTCTAAAGGCCTTTGTTTTAATATAGGCTATCTGAATGTAGCCCATGGTTGAGCCCTTTACTAACTAGTGTCAAGGAAGTTGTAATTTATGTCCTGAGTCTGCCAACTAAGTGGCCTGGGAACTTGGGCAAGTCACCTAACTTCTCTCATGTCAGTGTCCTCACTGGTAATCTGGAGATATGGACAACATTGTGGGGTCCTTACTGAGCAAGCACTGTTTTAAATAGCGTACACATACTACTTCCTGTCATCTTCCCAACAAACCTAAGAAGTAGTATTGCTATCATTATCACCCATTTTAAAGATGTAGTAACTGAGGCACAAAGAGGTTAGTGTTCTTTCCTGTGGTTCCAAAGCTATATATGGAGCCAGGATTGAAACCCAGGCAGTCCCATGTCCAGAACCCATGCTCTGGGTACCTTTTCTCACTGAACTGTGATAATTAAATCAGATTAAATATTTGGACGTAAATGTAACATATTGTTATTACCTCTCCTGAAGTTCACTTCCTCGTCTGTCAAAAGGAGACAATACTTATATTTCAGAGTTTTTGTCAGGAATAAACATATGGAAGAAGACTGAGATTTTGCTACCCATCTGTCAACACCCCTGGTTCAACAAAAAAACCCCATTTTGCTCTTAAGAAATTGCACATGCTCCAAGCCTGTCCACTGCTACAATATAAAACTAATATCATTTTTCCTTTCTGCTTCTTACAGATTTTTGCATATATGGATGAAACCGCCCAAAAAAACAAGTGGGACCTCCAAGCTCTTAGATTTTTATCAATCAATTCAATAATTGACCCTTGGGTCTTTGCCATCCTTAGGCCTCCTGTTCTGAGACTAATGCGTTCAGTCCTCTGTTGTCGGGTTTCATTAAGAACACAAGATGCAACACCAACTTCCTGTTCTCTACAGTCCAATGCCAGTAAGTAGATTGACCTTTGTCGACGATAGTTAAGAAGTGCTTCATTAGCCAGCATCTGGAAGATCATTTTGAAATGGCTGCTTGGAGAAATGAAAAAAGTAAGTTTACAAATCCAACAACGCCACCCTAATAAAACAGAGTGAACAAACCTCTCAGCGATAGATTGGGGCTACAGAGGTGCTGACAAGGCACTTCATGGAAGGTGTTAGAAGGATCTATAAGACCTACCCTCCATGAGCAGGTCAATGAGGTTGGGCTTTGGAGGAAAAACCAACTGCTTTGAGGATCCAGTTGCCTTTTGATTTAAGCTTTCCTGTTGAGTGAGAAAGCATGTGGTTTTGTAATTTGTTTAAAACCCTAAATAGTTACTGTGTTTTCTATTTTAATCTTCTACGCTACTGTCGTTATAAACACGCAGTGTGCAGTCAGACCAGATGAAACTTCGTGTGTCTCCTCTACAAAGGCAGTACTTGGAAGCGACTAAGACTGGTGTCTTGTGTTGCTTAACAAACCCTTTGTCTGGCCAATGAATTTGGAAATCACAGGCACTTTGTACCGTCCTATTTGTGTATATGGGAGGTCTCTCTGGTCACCACGGTATTATGTGTGAAGAAGGCTCAGCTGGTTAACGTCACCTTTTTACTAGTCCTCTAGAAGCTGTGTGTCAAAGTATTTGGTTATTTATTTGATAATGTCCATTGTGCTAAGAGTAATCAAGAACACTTTTGGAATTTTCCTCTCAACAAGAAATAATAGGCTATTAAGAGAGTTTCAAATTCTGATTAATACTCTTCATTCTATTTCCAGGGAGGGGAAATGTGGCTATGTCTGAAGCTGAATATTAGAATTAAAAACTGAAAAATCTGGTCAATTCTCAATAAACCCTGAAACTCTTCTATTGCTCATGATGAGGCTGTGACTAACATCTACTTGATAAGATGACTGTGTTTTAGCAAAACTCATGCATCTACACTTTTATCCAGGAAACATGGTTTGACTCATACTATATAGGAAATCATGCAACAGTGAGTCATGTCTTAATATGTTTCTAAATCTAGATGTTTGGCATGGTATAAACCCGGCATCAGGGTTTCAGCAAATTTGCACCGTTCGATCATCTTAGTTACTGCGTAAACTCATCTGAAATGTTATGAAAATAAACTATGAAACAAAAATTTGAAAATGGAATAGTATTTGATGAATTCCCCCAAGTAACAGTTTCTAGAGTAGATATAATATTTTTAATAAGATAAAAGTAGAAAAAATATATTTATTTTGGCAGGCAGGTTTTTAAAGTGTGGTTGCATTATAATTTAGATATTAAAATATTCAGTATAGTACTTGGTATTAGAGGATTTTTTTCCCCTTACAGTATGATCTTCAGAATAGTAGAACCATTTTATTTATTTATTTATTTTGCAGTGAGTGTTATTACAGGATAGCTGTTATAAAAAAAGAAAAAGTGATGTTAGTTTTTTCCAAAGTCTCATTGAATTGCTTATGTAAAACCATCTCCTATAAGTAGTTATCAAACTAGGTGATCACTTAAAGTGATTCCAAACCAATCTAGCATCAGACACAATCTATGTCAAATCAGCTCTTATTTTTAAAAGAATAAATAAGTGGTTTGCTTTTCTACTAATTTAAACAAACCAGGCAAAATTTAACTTAACTGAAATCTGGACGGGTAAATAAATCTTCCCTGCACACAAGTATTCTAAAGTTAAGAAATTGTTCTAAATAGGATTAATTACGCTCATGGGTAATTCCTAAACATAAAATTCTGAAGTTACTTTGAATCTGGAAGATTGATTTCTTTTATCAGATGACTGTTTTTTCCACCAAATGAAAATGTTAACTACAATCCTTTACTCCACCTCACCACTCCCCAAAAATTCTGGAATAATGCCTGAGAACTTTTAAAAAAGGAAAAGGCACACTTGAACATAGTATCACTAGTAGGAACACAATGATTCACTCTGGGGGCCCAATATATAAGAATTTAAACCACTTATTTAAGAACTAGTAGGTTTCTAGAGCTTTGTTTCTTAATGTACTCCTGCTCCTTGCATTGTGTTAAATGGCTAAATCCTATTGTTTCACCTGCATATACAAAGAAGGAATTGAATGTAAAAATCCTATGTAATAGTGAATCACCTATTACTAATGGCAATTTAAAGGTAACAAAAAAATTTACTTAGAATAGATATGTAAATATTTCCTTTCTAAAAATCTCATCACATCAGACATGCCTGTTTATACTTACTGACTCATTTTCAAATTAAATAAAAAGCAAGGGCTTAGCCTGGTATATTAGAGAACTGAGCTGTGATAAAAGAAGATACCAATTTTATTCATTGTCCCCGACAGTCAGTGGGATGAAAAGTGGATTTTCACCTCAAAATGCCAGCCCTAAATTTAGGTGTCCAGGAATTGGATGGGCCAGAGTAGTCGGCCCTGAGCCAAATTGTTCCCAGTTCCCTGTGGCCTCAGGTCATCCAAGAGGGAACTGGGAAATTCTGGTACTGAAGTGTGGTCTTGAATCTCCAAAGATCTGATAGATGCTATAGAAAGCCTCCAAAAGACCTGAATCTCAAAGTTGTTTGGGCCCATGACAACCCAGAGCCAGAACAAAGCTCTAGAAACAGTGCCAACCCAAAACCACCATGTTGGCCAAGGCTGGGAAAATCCAGTCTGAATCACTACATCCTTGGTGTAATTCAGTTAAATTTTTGGCATCCCTGTCTGCTCATGCCAGTGCACTTTGAAAGGGTTGTTCGAATGTTCACGTGATGTCAGCTCTGATTGGAATCAAGAAAAAACTAATATATTCAGGTTTAAAATTTGATGGCATTGAAAGGCAGGGGAAGACAATTAGCTGGCATTCATGTAAAGGTTTGTTTATTTCATTTAGCCAAAACTCATGGTTTTCTGAATTTAGGAAGAGCCCCCACTTGAGCCATTTACAGATGGAGAAGCAGTCTTCTCTGCAAATGAGAAGTTTCTGTGTGTGAGCGGACAATGCCTGCTCATGCAGGTGGTGTTGCAACTTAAGTATTTGATGACGATCTTCTGCCCCATCACACACTTAACTTCATTGGATTTCCTCCCTGAGGATGCATTTATAACATACCTCCAATCACCTAACAGCATTATAATTTTTTTAATTCACAAAGCATTTTTATTACCATAAATGCACACTATGGAAATAAATATTATTTTGGCAAGTCACAAAAACTCTAGTCTCTACAGGAGACCAAGGACATGTACTGGGCATTAATTTTTATTTCAGAAAACTACTTTTTTGGGGGGTAGATTTTACAATGCTTTTAATTGTTAAGTAAATTTTCTTGGATTATATTTTTTTATTCCCTATAAAATGAATGTACTATTAAAATCCAGTTTGGGTGGTTTAATTCCATGACCCAAGTGTTTCATTTTTAAAATCTGCCACGAGTCAAATCAGGAAAGTTTCCAACAGAAAAAAGAGATGGCGTGCTCCATCTCTTTCGTGGACTGTTGAATGAAAGGAATATTTACAGAGGGCTGGGCACGTGCTCGCTTCAGCAGCACACATACAGAGGGGTGCGCAGAGTTAAGGGAATCAGCAAGGGATGGTGAGATGTCCCTCACAAGCTCTTCCACTCCTCAGCCTGAAGGGACAAGGGAGGAGCCATCACCCAATTGGAGCTGTAGCCTTAAGTAGGGAAGTAAGCACAACTGTTGCCAAACCTCAGGGAGGCAACAAGGGATCCACCTTCCCGGAAGATCTCTCCTCCTACTCTCTACTCTTCAGCCTGTTTCTCCCATTGGCCAAACCCATCTGTAATCCACAGTCAGGGGAGCCTGGGTAAAGCAGTCCATGAAGGCCTTCCTACAGGGGGAGAGTAGATTAATAGAGGGCAAGTGGAGAATATCCAGCATAAGTAAATTAAAAATATGTTTTCCTTTTTTTTTTTTTATTGCACCAACACAAAAAATGAAACCACAAAGTGAGCAGCCTCTCTTCCTGCCTTCTACTTCAAATATCCTCTAACAAGCTTGGGGAATAGAAATCAGCCCCATCTGTATGAAAGGGGGTGAAGTACTATAGATTCCTTCATCAAAATATTGGTCCTTAGCCCTGCTCGCCTGAGGCTGGGCGTTTACATTTATCTAACTTTGGAAGCATATGATTTTATATAATTGGAGAAAGAGAAGGGGGATCAGACCAAAGCATCTTTGTGTTTCCCCTGCCCATAGCAGTATAGCTATCTCTAGGCAGAACAAAGAGAGGGAACCATGTACACTGGTCTAGAAATGAACTGGAGCCTCATTGTTAAGGTGGACCACTAGAGTGAGAAAAATCTAGAAAAACCTCACTTAGGGACACCTGGGTGGCTCAGTCTGTTAGGCATCTGACTCTTGGTTTCAGCTCAGGTCATGATCTCATGGGTTGTGGGATTAAGTCCCTCATCAGGCTCCATGCTCAGTGGGGTGTCTGCTTGAGGATTCTCTCCCTCTGCCCCTCTGCCCACTCGTGCTCTCTCTCTCATAAATAAGTAAATCTTAAAAAAAAAAAAAGAAGAAAAAGAAAGAAGAGAGAAAGAAAGAAAGGAAAAGAAAAACATCACTTAACAATGCAGGGCAGGTTGTTCCCAAATTTAACATAGCAGGGATGGGTCTACACAGCTAAGGTAAAGAAAGAGTATATGTAGCAATTCTGCATAATTTTAAATGCTGACAGAAGTACAAGGAAAAAGCAAATTTTAACAAAATGGAAAAAGAGTAGACAAAGTTTGACTCCCAAGCCATCTGTCAAAGTTACCCTTTCTGCTACCACAGGATCTGTTTCTGCTCCTCCTTTACTCATTTCCTTTCATCCCTTTCCAGAGCCCACTGTTCCCAGCACAAACCGTCCCCTCTCCGCCCCACCACTGGGTCCTGTGTCATCTTTGATGCACACACTCAACCTTTGTCCTTTCAACAAACTCTAGATTTATTCAGGGGTTATTATAGATTTGCCAGACTGCTGAGTCTTTTTCAGACAAGTTATTTAACCTCTCTGACTCTTACTTTCCTTGTCTGTAACAGAAGGATAATGAAATTATCTATCTCTTCAATTATTTTGAAGCTCAAATGAGTAAATACATGCAGGACATTCAGCACAGTGCCTGGACATGGTAAATGCTAATAAGGTTAAGGATTAGTATCATCTTAGAAGCCCAGTTCAACGGCTCTTCTGACATCTTCACGTGCCTCTGGCTCAGAGTGCTCGTTCCTGGCGGGGGGCATGGTGCGAGGGGTCATGGTATCTATTTGTTGACTCTGGGTAACTGTCAAGAACAATGATGATAATCAGCATTAGGACAAGTTTGTATTTCAGAGAATGCAATGTAGACTGGCACACACGGGACAGTGTAGAGGAATGTGTAAGCATAAAAGAGAGAGCAAGAGACACAGACAGACAACAGGACCTATAACATGGCTCGGAGCCAAGTAGGGGAGCTTAGAGGGGACAGTACCTGAAACATTATTCAAACAGGATATGTTATGTGTTGGGAAACACACTCTATCACAGAGCTGAAACTGAGGGGCACCTGGGTGGCTCACTCGGTTAAGGGTCCGACTTTTGATTTCAGCTCAGGTCCTGATCTCGGGGTTGTGAGATCGAGCCCCGCATCGGGCTCCGTGCTCAGCAGGGAATCTGCTTGAGATTCTCTCTTTCCCGCTCCCTCTGTCCCTCCCCCTGCTCACACACTCTCTCTCTCTCTCTAAAATAAATAAATTAACATCTTTTATTTTACATCTTTTTAACATCTTTAAAAAAAACCTGAAACTGAGCAGATTTCATTTACACATCATCTTCCAAAGATCCCTGGAGTAAGTCCAACCCATGTGCCACAGACGACCTTTCCTATTTCTGAAAACAGCACCCAGGACTTCTCCAGGCAAATATTTCTGATTACTTCAGCTATCACTTATGTGACACCTCACCATTTTGGTGCCTCCCCCAGATCTTATCCGACTTATCAATGTCCACCTTAATATGCGGGGCCAGAACCAAACACGAACACATAATTCTAAACCAGTCGATACTGAGTGCTGATACATCAGTTGTTGGCTTGATCTGAACATTATTCTCATTAATGAACCTGAGTATTACAAGCCTTATTAACAATTAGGTCATAACTTTATAACCTTCAACAAATGAAAGAAGCACAGTGTTCCACTTTACATAGAGGAAAACTGAGTGCAGGGGTGAAGTGAGTTGCTCACTAAGGACATTCTCATAAGATCCCCCTTATGATTATGGTGCCAATCTTGCCACCTGACATCACACAGTCATTTGGTTTCTCATGAGTCATTTGCCTATAAATTCTTGGATTGGTTCTGCAGACTAGGAATCGCAAGCTTTGAACTTATCAGCTGAAACTTGTCTTTTGTGTTAAAAACTTGGGCCTTGAGAT